GTGAAACGCGTATAAGATGGGATGGATCCATAGTCACCTATTTTGGAATATGCCTGGTCAATGAGAACATGAGATGAAACGTGTGAAATAATTTGATGGTGTATATGTATCTCAGTAACAAATAGCCAACAAAACTGCAGATTTCATTTGTGAGTGTAATTAGTGTTTTGTGAGACAACATGAACAGTATAGAAAAGATAACAACGAATAGGGTTGATTAAACATGTTTTAATGGTGAAAATATTGACAATAATAATGTTTTCCGAGTTTGAACAAGGTTTGATGTCAGTTAGGAAATCATCGAAACCAGAGAATACCGGATAGCCAATTCTTCTAGTCTGGAACTCATCGACATTACCCATTCAGTACCTTCTGGTTTCAAGTCAAGTCCGCGTAATATTCAAAACCTGGGACTTGATTCACTGTCCAGCTCCTGAATTCTAACTTCCAACATTTCATGAATTTTAGCGTGACCTACAACCATTGTCATCAGTCGCTTAGATTTCTCAATAGAACTCCAGCAATCTCCTTTCTGTAACAAGTCACTGATGAGCATTAGATTGATTTTCAGTAGTTGATTTATAAGACGTTGATATGGGTGAAATCAAGCTATGCGGCAGCTACGCTAGTCAGTGGTCCTGATAAGAACTGTGAATTTCCAGAATTTAGAATTCATGGACTAGTCATTCAACCAAGTCCCTGTGGCTAAATGGTAAACGAACTTGTCTTCTTAATAGAAGCCGCTGTTAAACAAAAAGAATATGTGCAAAGAGACGAGGACTCACAAAATAATAATAATTTACTTTAATCCAGAAACAGAACTTATAACACAGACTGGAATTCTCAGCAATTTTGCATGTGATTTACTTAAATTATAAATAAAGTTTAAAATAAAAACAAAAGTAACTAGAGGGATTTGTCAACGTTTACGATGTAAAATCAAAAATATTCGAAGCACGAATTGAAAGTTTAAATATTATATTACAATAATAACAGTGAGTTTGTTTCAAACATTATTGGCGATTCAGTTTGGAAACTTTAGCATGTTATTGATTATTGGATCTAAAGTTCTGTTGATATATTATAGTTAGAGGAAAGACAAAATAACAGTTGTAACACAGCTAAAATGATGTTCACACTTATGAAAAATAAATAAATTGAAACAAAAAATTGAGAGGATTATAAATATAAGAAATACAATATCAATTTAGTTTGGTACTGTAAAGGTGGAAGAAATGGTTCATTTCGTGGTGCGAAGAAGGTTAGTTAGTTCATGCTTGAAACTATTTTCATCGAATAAAGTACGTGCCGTGAAATATGGTATAGTGGAATTTTTATACTTACACGTACGTGCCTAAAGTCTTCTGAAAAGACTTCTTGTTTTACCCGAGAAGGTTGTAGCTGCAGGTAAAATGGGTGCTCACGGTCTGACAAATTTCCTTTGCCAAATTTGTTGCATGACATCAAGTGCCTATCAGTGACGATGACGAGTTGACAAACTGTAAGAGGAGGAGTGGTTGGGTTATACCTGAGTGCCCCAACTTCTCGATGTAAAACGTCATACAAAATATTCTTTTAGAAATCGCTAAGACATGGGAAGACCAGGATAGGTCAGAAGAAAGAATTAATCCAAGACACTTAACTTCAAACTTGGTTTCTATATCGGTATCATCAATTTTGCAAGGGTCATAAGAATCAACGGTTTCGTTTAACTGTCGTTTACATCGGAAAGCGAAATTGAAAGTCTGACATTTGGAAGGATTTAGTTTTAGGCCGTAAGACCAAGACCATTTGCTAATTCCTGAAAGAAAGCTGTTCATCTTAATACACTCTAGCTGGGAGTTAACAGACATTGAAATAGTTACATCGTCCGCACACTTAACAAAGTTCATTTCATCAGAATGAGGGATGTCATGCGAGAAGAAAGAGAACAGAAAAGGTGAAAGGACAGCTCCTTGAATGACACCAGCCCCAGGAAGCAAAGACGTGGACGACTTTCCTTTACATGCAGTGTACTGCTTTCTTGCTGAGAAACAGGAATGCGACCATTTGACAACCCAACAGTCAATTTGAGTTTCAGCAAGCTTCTTTAACAAAATGCCCCTAGGTACTGAGTCGAAAGCAGATGTGTAATCTAGGAAGGTGCAGCGAACAAATTTAGCCCCTTGTCTAAGCTGGAGACAGTGTTATGGTACAAGACTGTAACTGCATCTAAATTACTCCTACTGTGTTTATAAGCGAATTGTTTGGGATCACTAAAGGCTTTAAGTGAAGGTTGAAGATTAAGTCAGAGTAATTCTTCCTTTGTTTTTAGTAAAGGAGAGGTAATAACAATAGGTCTAAATTTTGAACATGTTCCAGTGGACCACTTAGGTATGGGTACATTTTTAATGTCCTTCCAAACGACTGGCACGACATTTCTGGAAAAAGATTCATTAAATATGTCCATGAGAGGATAGCACAGGACGTCTGCACACGTTTTAAGAATAACACCAAGCAAACCGTCTGGACCCAGGCTGGAAGAAGAATGGTTCAGAGACTGAAGACATTTTAGAACATCATCTGAATTGAAACCAGGGAAGCAGGTTTCACTAACACTTGTAATACTAGAAACTTCGACATTTGTAGGAGAATATATGGAAGACTTGTTTAGTGTGCAAACATCAAAGGAATAAGGAATACTATTCATCTGATTACCACCAGTAATTTCTTTGAAAAGTTTCCATATATTAGACGCATTTTTTCAGGATATAAAATTTTGGTTGTAAATTGAATTCAACCTGTGCATTTTAGATTTTATTAGGATATCAATTCTTTTCGAACCAGTATTATCCTTCATTTTATATAGCTTTTCTTTTTGTCTGCGTAGCTTTTTAGGTTGATGGTAGGAGCGACGGTCAAATCTGATGAAGAGCTTTTCTCTGGGACAACAAGTGTTAAGACAAAATTTGAGATAACTTGTAATATCAGAGATTGTGACATCAAGAGAGTCTTCATTAAACAGGTCCCACCTTGTGCCTTTGAGCATGCCTTTAAGATTCTGAACATTCTCCATAGAGTAACATTCATGTACAGCTTTCCTGGAAAGCTGTGAAAAAGTTCTCTTGTATAACTTTCCATAAATTTTAGGTAAAACCCGTACAATAAAACGGTCTGCGTTAAACAGTGGGGCTCTTTTACGAGCTTCGTATATCTCACAGTCATTTATGAATACAAGATCGAGAGAATTGTCCAGTCTGGTGGAAATGTTAACAATTTTCATGACTGACCTAGAAATGTGAGAGAGCTGCAGTCACATGAAATAAAATCACCTGTCACTATGGACAATGAGTTTCTAAAATAGGCGGCAGAGAAAATAGTGAATTCATCTGCAAACATAGATAGTTCTGAAGTGCTACAACAGGGAGTGACAGAAATGATTGTGATATAAATGAATTTGTACTTAGATTGGTGTTTAGGTCGACATTTGACAGTTAAACAGTCAGTATTATCATCTGAGAATATAAAACAGACGTTGTTGGCAACAGACCACAGGGAATTGATAGAAGAAGCGACACCATCAGCTCGCTTCTTCCTTGTCTTGTCTGTACATATTGAAACCATTCAGTAAGATTAAATTGTCATCATATGAATCATGGAGCCACGTTTCGTGAAGCGTTAATACACTTATAAAGTTATATTTGTAAAATCTCAGTAAAATTGAAATGGTTGATTCCAACGTTTCGTTCGTTAATTTGGTCCGATCTTCTTCAGGGAAATTAACCGAAATTAACATAACAAAGTTTATATATAAAGGGACACCTTGTTTTTATAATTTTGTCCAATCATCTTTGCCATGGATCTTTGCCACCCACCATGATCTTTTCCTTAGGTTATTACATACTCGTAAATCATCAGGTTGAAGACATTTTAAATAATCGTGAGAGTATACAATTGGTGGATGGTGGCTAGCAGTGGAATCCAGGATGCACATTTCGTCCTATTTGGGATTCGTCATCCGGTAGATGTACCTGCATTTCTCAGTGAGTGATGATGTCCCCACCGAGGCTCAAACCCAGTACCCATAGTTTCAAACGCCGTAGCGTTATCCACTAGACCACTTGGGCCACGAGAGCCACCTCTTGTGCAACGGGTCATATTAATTATTGAATTGAATTTTTGATTTTCCCGTCGATTGATTGGACCGAAGTGCTCGGTCTCAGGTTGACACCAGTTGTATACTAATTAAATACCCAGACATCGTCGAAGCATCTGCACAAGAAGCCGACATGTCAACCTGAGACCGAGCACTTCGGTCCAATCAATCGACGGGAAAATCAAAAATTCAATTCAATCGTGAGAGTAAGTGATACGATATGGACACATAATTGAATAATTAAAATAAAATAAATCCAAGTAATGAGATGCAATATAAGTGACGGAAAATGTTTGCAGCCCAAGGATTAAAAAGGCCAGAGATGTCAAGTACTCCCTGGTGTCATCCGTTCTCCGAATAAACCAAAAAAGGATTCCAAATTAGAAAAGGAAAACAAACATATACAAAATCACTATTGACATGAAGACAAGAAGAGAAGAAATTGAAACTTTGAAAAAAATGCATTCGTGAATAATCATTAACGAAGGATAAATTACCTCGCAAAGAAGTCGCACATATTCAGGTTTACTTGAAAATATCTTCAATAAACTGATTTCAAAATTATTATACAGGCAAATATTGATGAAAACAATATATTCAGAATATGTCTTCAAGGCTTGCGACTTCACCAAAGTTTAGCTTGACCTTGGCTGTCACTAATCTCAGAGTCATTGTCCGTCACACCAAATCAAATCAAAATCTGCATCCTGCCTATCACAAGAAGAATAATTTCTATGGGGTTCTCCAAGAGAATAGAAACCCACCAATGACATAGTCTAACCACCCACACAGTATCTCATTCGCTGGAGACTGAAAAATCAAGCCTATAAAAGATGAGACGCTTGAGAAGGAAGTCATTCAGCAAAATGAAGATTACTTACTTGATCTGCATTGTGTCGTTGGTTGTCTTTCGAAATGTCGGTGAGTGACAGTGTAAAAGTGGCAGTTGCATTGTTAGCTACTCGTGTTTGTCAAATATGTGAAATGCATTGATGTTTCAGATGTGTATTCGGTCTACAGTTGGAAATCCAATATAGTTTACAGTGTATAAAAGACATTTTGAATTCCACAGCATATATATTCCGATGAACACGTTTAAACTGTACATTATTTCAGAGTCCGTATGCCAACACCATACATTCTGACACGTTAACGTAGCAGTCACGTGATCTTCTATTTGTTCATCACATTTGGTGTCCACTTTATGTTTTCAGCAGCCGAAGCTGAAGAAACTTTGACAAGCGAGAATGGTAAGTCACAAGTTGAACACCCACCTATCAATGATGGCTGCACTCAAGCGTAACACGTTCAGTGCATCGGTATTCGTATGTTTGAGACGGTTGGAAATATCCAACTGCATGCATTTGTGTTGCTTCATTTACATGCATTCTGAGAGCTAATCAATATTTTGTACGAATTTCAAATTGTCGTCATTCAGCTACAGAGACGACAACAATTCTGGACAATGCTGGTAAGCCATATTTATGCACTACGTTTCTGAATAGTATACATCACTAAAATGTTATCCAATATTCTGTCAATCAGCTAAGAAGTCAATCTTATCAAGCTCGATATTATCTTGTGAGTGAGCGCTTTAGTGGATTGGTGACAGTCACTTGATGTTTTCAGGGTCTCCAGGTTTGAAATTACAGTTGCATTTTTAGTTTGACGGGGTGGAGTTGTGAGGCGTCCACCGAAACTGCAGTCATTACGGTCGGATAATGAACACTTAGAAGTGTTAGGAATGAGTCATTCAGTGATCACGCCTCTACCGCCTGAGTGGATGTTGATGATAATACGCAGTATGATTACTCCAACGGACAGGTTTATGCTACACATAATATCACAAACCGCATGTCAACACTATACATATGCACACGTTAACGTAGCAGTCGCATGATTTTCTATTTGTTCAACACATTTTGTTTCCATCTTGTGTTTTCAGCAGTTGCTGTGGAAGAGACTTTGACAAGCGAGGATGGTGAGTCAGGATTTTTACACTCACATATTAAGGCTGGTTGTTCTCATGCGTAACACGTTCAGTGTATCGTTATTCGTAGGTTTGAGACAGTCATAATTGTCTGACTGCGTCCATTGGTTGTTGTGAGGGCCCCAGGTTTGAAATTTCCTTTGCGTTTTTGGTTCGACGGGGCGGAGTTGTGAGTCATGCACTCAACCTGCAGTCTTTATCGTCGGATATCATACAAGTAGGAGTGTCATTAGTTCGTCAGTTGAGTTTAAAACCCCTACCGCTTGAGTGGATTGTGGTCATACAACGCAGTATGATTATTGACACGGACAGTTTATGCTCCACGTTATATCACAGTCCGTATGTCAACACTATACATTAACACACTTTAACGTCTGTCTGTCTAGATTCAACATAGAACTTTGCACCGAAGTTCGAGTTGCCACGTTAAGGTAGCAGTCGTGTGATTTTCTATTTGTTCAACACATTTTGTTTTCACTTTATGCTTTTAGCAGTTGCTGTGGAAGAGACTTTGACAATCAAGGATGGTAAGTCTCATTTCGAAAAATCGCATATCAATGATGGATGTGCTCATGTGGAACACGTTCAGTGCGTCAGTATTCCTAGTTTACAGACGGTCATAAACATCTGACTGCCTGCATTCGTATTGTTCTATTAACGCGCCTTTTCAAGGAGCTAATCGATATTTTGTACGAACTTTATTTTTTTCTCATTTAGTTGAAAATCTGCGAAATTCAATCCTGACCTATGGTAAGGCTTTATCAGAAATCAAATATTTTCAGAATATATATTTCACCAAAAGTTTATGGACTTATCATCCAACACAGCTCCGCATTCATTATTCTGAAACTCGACATTTTCACATGATTTCACATATATTTTTTATTTATCCACCTTGGTGATTTCTGGTTTCTTTCAATAATTTCTTTTAGTTGAGCAGTTTTTGGCGCAATTTGGCAGGGTTTTCGGTGGGTTGAATTGTTCCTTTTTTCTTGTGGTTTTTTTCGTTCTAATTCAATGTTGCCGCATTGGTCGTGCAAACGAGACTGTGCATGTTGAATGGTAATAATTCCGATACGATTAACATAACTGTTGATGTTTCCTAGGAAATCTGTGCTGGTGAAACTGACATGACATGATCAGCACAAGTAAAGTGCTCCTTATTCATAACGAATGTTTCTTATGTCTCGCCATATATATATATATATATATATATATATATATATGCACATAGCAAGTAAGACAGTGAACAGACATGCATCAATGATAGTGTACTCATGTAATCAAGAGTCAATTTTTTTGCTGGATGACGACAGTTAAATGTCTGCAGCAGTAGATTAGGGTCATTGTTATATTCACAAATAATGAATATATCGTCTACGCATCTATTTTACAGTCGCAAATTGTCAGTGCTCGGATTTAATGACAACAAAAATGCCCTAAATCTATTGCTGGAGACATATAACTGTTGCCATTCAGCAATAAAATTCACTCTTGAAATGGAAAACGAGTCAAAAATTCCGTTTCTTGATGTGGAACTAACAAGAAGAACTGACGGGAGCCTAAGAAGATCAATTCATAGAAAATCTAAGTAGAATGGCCAACTAACAAAATTATATGGCTGGGTACCCATTCAACTAAAACCGGAATTAAATGAAATCACTTCCATCCGCCTGCGACGCATCTGTAGTCCTGACATTCTGGAGACAGAATTAAATATTCTAGAAAAATCTTCATCAAAAATTTATACACAATAAACTCATAGACAAAAATATGAAACCAAGAATTCGGAGAAACAAAACTTTAATTGCGAATAAAAAGAAACTCCACATGAACATGGATTTCAAGGTAGATTTAGCAAGCGATATTTTGAAGAGAAGGGTCACATCATCTCTGAGAAGAACATTCTTTGCAGCAACATTAAGAATAGTGTTCTCTCGGTGCCCACGGATCTGCAGAAGCCTCAAGGACAAGATCCCGCACCTGACCACTTCTATGTGCATAAATCAGTTAACCTGCTACTGTGGAGACAACTGGGTACATCAGTCGTTAGACGCGAACCCTGTCCAAGAGGATTCAAGAACACTATTCAGCAAGCATGGTTGCGAAAGGCGATAGTCATGCAATAAGGAAGGCGATAATTGAACACCTGGCTTTCGTTAATCATTCCATTTCAACAAACGCCTCCTTCAAATTAATCTTCAGACCCAAGAATGGCCTATCAAAGGCAATACGTTTTCGTCTTCTTTGTATCGCCGAAGCTATGGGCATTCAAATAGAAAACCGCAGCTGTGCATGCAAAACGGCATTACTCAACCACTTCTACTGTCTTGGTAACAACGTTTTTGATTTGATTGCGTTTGCATTTTGATGACTTAATTTTATTTTTTTCGTGTTCTTTAATTGCTTATAATTCTTGTATTTATTTATAACTCCTACGTAATTTCATATTATCTACTTTGTTTCTATGTGCATCATGAGTAAAATTCAATCATGAAATTTTTCATATTATTACATAACCTCTTTTAATAACTGCTTGTGACAACTCATCACTTTTGTTGATATCCTAATTTCATTAAAACCTAATTTTCTTGACCGATTTTGGTATTAAGTAACTCAAAATACCAATCTTCACCTGTTTTGTTAAAAAAACTATAGAAAATTGTATTTTTGTTTGACAAACTTAATGTACACCTGCATACAAAATAACATACATGTATTTCCAAGTATACAGCTAAGAAAATGAATTCGCCTAAAAGAGATTCTTCGCTGATCTACGCATCTTGTTGCATTATTGCCTGGATAGGGAGTATCCAGAATTGAAATGTGTGAAACGCATTGAAGTTTCAGATGTGCAGTCGATCATCAGTTGTAAATGAAATACTGCTTTCAGTGTAATATTTTGCCTGTGTGAGATTTTGAATTCCACAGCATATATATTCCGATGAACACGTTTAAACTGTACATTATTTCAGAGTCCGTATGCCAACACCATACATTCTGACACGTTAACGTAGCAGTCACGTGATCTTCTATTTGTTCATCACATTTGGTGTCCACTTTATGTTTTCAGCAGTCGAAGCTGAAGAAACTTTGACAAGCGAGAATGGTAAGTCACAAGTTGAACACCCACCTATCAATGATGGCTGCACTCAAGCGTAACACGTTCAGTGCATCGGTATTCGTATGTTTGAGACGGTTGGAAATATCCAACTGCATGCATTTGTGTTGCTTCATTTACATGCGTTCTGAGAGCTAATCAATATTTTGTACGAATTTCAAATTGTCGTCATTCAGCTACAGAGACGACAACAATTCTGGACGACACTGGTAAGCCATATTTATGCACTACGTTTCTGAATAGTATACATCACTAAAATGTTATCCAATATTCTGTCAATCAGCTAAGAAGTCAATCTTATCAAGCTCGATATTATCTTGTGAGTGAGCGCTTTAGTGGATTGGTGACAGTCACTTGATGTTTTCAGGGTCTCCAGGTTTGAAATTACAGTTGCATTTTTAGTTTGACGGGGTGGAGTTGCGAGCAGTGTTTAACTGCGGAAAGTGAACAATTGGAAGCGTCACGAGTGCGTCAGATGAGGGTCAAACCCCTATTGCTTGAGTGGATGGTGGTCACACTACGCAGTATACACATTTGAATGAAGAGGTTTAAGTTCCAAAGTCAGTCTGTTATATGAAGTTTGCATACTTGGTCTGCTATGTGTCGTTGGTTGTCTTTGGAAATGTCGGTGAGTGACGGCGTAAAAATGGCGGTTGCATTGATTGTTCCTCGTGTTTGTCAAATTTGTGAAATGCATTGTTGTTTGAGATGTGCATTCGATCTAGAGTTGGAAGCGAATTGTTGTCTTTAGTGTAATATTTTGGCTGTGTGAGATTTTGTATTATACAGCATGCACATTGCAGTGTACAAGTTTAAACTCCACATTTTATCACAGTTCGTTTGCAAACAACATAAATTCACACAGGTTAATGTAGCAATCTCGTGATTTTCTACTAGTTCAACACATTTTTTTCCATCTTTTGTTTTCAACAGTTGCTGTAGAAGAGACTTTGACAGTCGAGGATCGTAAGTCTCGTTTCTAACAATCACATATTAAGGCTGGTTGTGCTAATGCGCAAGAGGTTAATTGTATTGGTATTCGTAGGTTTGAGGCAGTCATAACTATCTGACTGCGTCCATTTGTATTGTTCTATTAACGCGCCTTTTGACAGCTAATCGACATTTTGTATGAACTTCACTTTTTTTCTCATTTAGTTGAAAATCTGCAAAATTCAATGCGAGCCACTGGTAAGACTTAGTTATTAGAATGTTTGTTTTCGCAATATGTTTCCCTAAATTTTGTGAAGGTTACTGTCAACGTATTTTACACTCATTCTTCACAACCTTGATATTTTCACGCGATTCCGCATAATGTTTGTTTTCATATACCACTGTGCATTCTGGGTTTCTCCTCTTCAATTTTTGTAGTTCATTCAATTCAAGAGAACTTTGGGAGGAATTTAAGTATGTTTTGTTTTTTCACGCTTTTCTTGTAACCTTCTCCATATCAATTTCATCGTTATTGCTTCATTTGCACTGCAAACGAGCATTCGCGTGTTAAATCCTTCTTCTTTCGAACGACTTGCCACACCTCTTGATGTTACTAATGAAAGTTGGGCCGGTAAATATGATATGACATGATGAGCACAAGTTAATTGCTTGTTAGTCAAAACGGTTGTTTCCCACATCTAAGGCATACATGTAAATATGTGTGCTTACCTGTTTATATATGTAGCATATTGCATTTGTCATTATTCATCCCAATGAAAAGAAACTTATTGAATCAGAACTCTTAGGGAAATGTTATGATTTGCCCAATGTCTTGCTTTCTACGTGATAGGGTATGGATGCGTTTCCACCTGCAATATTAAAGACAGTTTGTAAATACTGTTAACATTGAAATCCGATGAGTTAAATTTCATTCAGTCAGGTGGTGCACAATTTATGCTATTAATTATCACAAATATAAACACTCTTTCTTCTCGTATACAGGATCCTTCTTCTGGAAAAGAATAGCAGCTCCAGGTAAGTGACTTTGATCACCGATTGTTTAAAAAAAACCATGCAGCATGTTGACTTTTCTCTGATTACGAAGTATAAACATAAGTGTGAAAATCCAGTTGATTCATTCATAATTGGAGTTATTAGTGATGAGTCACAGTGGAACGTGATCGCCAACTCTGTTATTAACATGGTAATCCGCTGTATTCTATGGGTTCTTTATTGCAGTTGCTCGAGTATGCAGTAACGGTGTATTACTGATCGCCTGCCCTACTGTTTCTCTACTGAGAAAACAAGGAGGGATGACTGTGAATGCAAAGATTTATGTCTGCCATTCATAGAGTCATATATTCATTGCACTTGTTTGCACTTGCTCATTCAAGAAACGCTAGTGTAGAAAATACCAGCTCTCAGCAATACATATCAGTTCGAACTCTGTTGTGTTCTGGACATATCTGCATTGTTATATTCAGCTTCGACAGAAAATAATGCTCCACAAGAAATTCGTTTGTTCAAAAGTTATGCATATCTCAATGAATCCTTTATTTTCAGTACTCAGCTCACTCGGTCTCAATCAAACATGTAAGCTTTCTTGAAATGATTCTTGTTCAACCTGTCATTTGGATGTTATCATGTTATCACTGATGTACTCTTGCAAGTGTTATAACAGTTTTATGAAAGAGGTGGGTTATGCAGCGGATTTCGCTGGATGTAATCCCACCCAGTGGACATTCCAATGAGAACACTTTCACACCCAACTACGGTATGCATGAGTGATGTTGCACCGTAGTACCGAGTAAATGTGCACATTGAAGTGAAAAATATTAAATTATGTGTGGACAAATTCGAGACAGCTATGTGAGTAGGTTTCTTCATATACGAAAGACTGTTTGGATGGATGGAATTAGTGTTGGTGCTATTACCTTTCCATGTTAATGCATATTTCTGCTTATCTTCATGTATATCCAAATGGAAATGAGATTGATGAAGCTGTTGAGTAAACGAGAATAAGTAGCCGTTTAGATAAACATTCACATTGACATACCTGGTGATTTTACATCCTGCTTTCTGCTTCTACTCATGCTGCCATTTTTTACAAATGACGTGCATTGATGAAAGAAGGCTGAGTATTCGTAAACATTGAAACGTCAGACATCACACCATCAGGGACTCATTTATTTGGAAATGATGTCTTCTTGGCAGCACAATAGTTACTTTCACCAATTCTATACACGTCAGTGCGTCACAATGCATTGAAGGGAAGTCTGTGCCACACTTCAACGAATGTGTGATTTCATCTCGAGTAACTCGCATACCCGGACTTTTTCAGTCACTAACGTCCAAGTTGAAGGCCATCTTAATAAATTCGTCTGAATTTGTAATGTTCAAATTGAGCATACATCGACTTACATTCATCTTTCTTTCTGCACACTTGATTATAGTTACCGTGGCAATATGAGCATAGATGACTGGTAAGCAAACACTGAACATGCACTGTTTACATATCTGTATCTTATTTTTGAATTAGCACTCTGTATCATTGTACTGAGGAACAGAATGCGATGAAATGGAAATGCTGAAGGATTTATGTGAAAAGTGATATTCCGTGATTGCCTACAATCATTTCGCGGGTGGTTTACGCTTGACACACCAACCAGCCAACAAACAAACCATCATCACCAACAACAACAGCTACATGGATCTTCATCTTTGAATGGGACAAATTTGAAAGTGCGAGTTTTCCTGAACGATTTGGCTGAGCACTGTCGTTTTTAAATACAGGCGACAAGGCGGTTGAATGAGGTCGAGCGCCACACCATCACTTGACTGTTTCTGCTATTAGGAGGACTTATCCTCTTCGGTTAGATTTGTGTGATAAGGAGGGTTTTGAGGAGGAGATGAGAGGCGATTGGTAATTGATTATTTGGCTAGAGACGACTGTACGGAAAGTGCGAAAGGCATATGTGTTAATGAGACACTTTTACCAACTTCAAATCCAAGGTTACACGAATAATAATAATAATAAAACGTGTAACGCAAATAATGATAACACAACTAGATAATGTCCTACCACAATTTGAAATGGTGTCCATATGCAGAAATCCACTTCGAAATATAATGTGCTGTGCGCGTCGTGATTCGATTTCTTGGGTAAAATTAAGTCCGTTTACACACTGTAGTCAGCCTCACGCAGATGTTTCCGTGTCAGCTTCCGGAAATACAAGACTCTGTTTTCAAAGTCGCCATTAGATGCATTCCCCAAAGGCGGTATATATCTCTATTTCCTCTGACACCAGTTCAATAATTATGAGACATTTCGTCTTACGTGGCACACTACGCAAAATCTGCTGTCTCTTTTGCGTCTCATGTCGTCATTTTATTCTTCTTCTTTGCAGATAAGAATGCCGTGCATATCGATCAGTTAAAATAGACAATTCGAACTTCGTGCAACTTTCCTTAATAACAATATTTATCACTTTTAATTAAATGTTTTTCTTTTAATAATAATAATTGTTTTGCAATCCCTTCATTGTTCTTATTTCAAAATTTGATAAGTACCTAGGCGGATTTGAATAGGATGTAAAATGTTTAACGGTCATCACTGTTCATTTGTGAAGACAGTTTATAAGGGCAAATCTCGAGAGATTTAGTTACACACGTTTGTAACAGTGAATATGCCTCGAAATGGAACTGCATATTAACTATCTTCAAGCAGTCAGTGTGAAATGAACTCTTTAATGATTTAAATTCAGTCACACATCACACTATGGGTAGTCACACGAATCAAGTGTTCGTGATTATGGAGGAGGGAGAGATGAAGTACTGAGATACATACCTGGTTAATAATGATTAACTGCTTCATGAAGAACCAGGACTTCGTTTGCAGATCCTAACGATTGAAACAATGCTCAGGTGACGTTGGCACGTATGAGAATATGACCAAACCACAGCAAGATTAGTGTAAATATAAGAAGAGCAATACCAGTGAAGCTTGATGTTATAAGTGTGGAGAAATTTGTTCATTAACCATTGGTAAGTAAGTTAGTCAATTAGTTCGTGCCTGATACTACTTGCACCATATGCTTCGTTGGAATCTTAAACTGAAACGTGCACGCATACAGTCTTATAAAATGGTTTCTTGTTCTACTTCAAGAGACACAAGGTAAGATCGGCGGGTGAAGTGCATGTCCACAGACATATTCAATCTCTTTTGCAAACGTGACGCATGCAAAAAAACGCCTATTAATCACAATGTCAATTATATGACTCAACGAGATACCACTCGCCCCACTGACAAACGTCAGAGTTCTATGAAGTAGGACATCTTCTTTTTTAAGCAATTCAGGGAAGAATAAGGGTGTACAATCAAGGAAGAGTAGGTGAGATGCGATTGTGGACAAACTGTGAGAAAATAAGTGAATGAGTTGTACCCGAGTGATTTAACTTTTTGATGTAGAATATCAGAGGAAACATTCGTTTGGAAATCAATAATTCGTAAGACGATCAGAGAAGATGAGAAGAAAGCCTTAGACCAAGACGCCAAATATCAGACTTGATTTCTACGTGTGTCAGTATCATGAATTCCACAACATTCATAGGAATGCACAACTTCATTTAATCTTCTCCACATCGTAAAATGAAATAAACCGTCTTATATTATAAAAGATTTAGTTTACCATAATTATTTGAAGACCATTTGCTGACTCCTGATAGTAAGCCAGTCATCGTAGTACAGTCTAGCTGGAAGCTAACGGTCACCGAAGAATTTAGATTGTGCACATACTTAACAATTTCTTTTCATCAGAGTAAAGCAAGTCCTGCAAGAAGGAATAATAAAGTAAAGGGGACGAATCATCGACTTGAGGGATGCCAGCTTCAGAAAGCAATGAAATGGACGAATTTTCCTTGAATCCAGTTTACTTAGGTCTTCTTGAGAAATTAGAATGCAGTCATTTGACAGCTCAACACTCATATTGATTTCACATAAGCTAGTTTGGTCAGTGGATGACTTAGTTACACGTACAATTTTATTATTTTTCCGAGTGGTTGCCACGATATTTCTTGTAAAAGCTCCATTACATATGTGAGTAAGAGGATAATATAGGAAATCCGCACATTTTACAAGCACAAGGGGAGAACAACCATCTCGACTTGAGCTACGAGAAGCGTTCAACCACTAGAGATATTTTAAAGAGTTATTAGTATGTGAATAGGTTGTCTTGTGTCAATTTCCATAAGCTTCGTGTAATATGCGTACAATGCAATGGTCAGAGTTAAACATTGAAGCTCTTTCATCGGCTTCGTATATTCTATAGTCATTTATAAATAAAAATCCAAGCGAAGTATCCAGTAGGGTTTGAAGTTTAACAACATTTTTACAACAAAGCGATGTAAGAAATTCAGTTCCATATGAACACACGTTGATGACAGTTTCAGCCTGTAATGACTAAAATCTGCCTCATCGGTGACCGAAACTACTTTCTCTCTGGTCAACTTAAACAAATTAGGAACAACATGTTGAGCATGATGTTGTGGTATCATCGTTTAATTTTTTAAGTTCATCCCAGCTGAAAACAACCCAAAACGGAGACAGAAGTCAGTAGCTCATCTTCATTCCAACCAGTCACATGGGTGATATGCAACTCTCCAAAATCAATCTGTTTCCCATTGGTGGTTGACCACAGAATGAAAGGCCTGCAGACTCAGTGAGACGTTGTCATGGTGGGGGGGGGGGTAGACTAAGTCTAGAGTGAGCACATATACTCTCGTTGATGGCACATATGGAGAATTGATTGAAGTTAGAATTGATGGCCTGGACAACAGACTGCGTTCCGGTGAATACTTGATAGTCAGCCCCACTTCGTGAAACGTAGGTCTTGGGTTCTGTCTCTCGCAGTGGTGTTATGAGTGAGTGCTGCAGTCTCCAACTAGGATGAAATACGAATCCAGTACTGCCTGGTCTTCGAAGTGCTCCTCTCACTGATTTTATCCAGTACACGCACATAACGACTTGATATAATTGAAACAAGGATTTAAAATATCATAGAGCATATTGAAGATGGAAGGGTGCGAATAACACCAGTTTGTTTCTGAATGCAAATGTTCAGTAACCTCATGACCTTCTGCAGGCTACGATATCAGACATCTGTAGTGAGCTTGCACTCACCTCAATTTCGGTTATCCCAGATGAGTTTTGTGACCGTCGCCTGATAATTGGTAGTTGATTTAAGAATTTGCAAACAAAGTCAAATGATTCATTTAACCAAGATAATATATCTCACCGATCCACGAGTCTGGCTATTATTCAGTACATTCAGTCGGTAGTGACGGATGCAGCAGATCACGTGAATGCCTATCATGAAGTAAATGTACCTGGAATTGGATTCTGCTTGATTCTCCTCGTTTCATTTTCACAAATGATTGCAGTTCAGAGCAATGTGTAGATGAATCATTGACTCACATATAGATTGATACCATGCACTATGGTTTCACTTATATTGCAGGTTTTCATATTAGAGTGTATCTCTCCATCCAACTGAATACCAGTAATAGTACTTTTTCACGCATCTCGGTCTTTTGACGACTGCATAAAATATTTGTGACTATAGATATTACCAATTTTGACAGAATAGTCAAGAGACGAATACGGTTTTCATGCCCAATGTTTCCCAATTTGTTGATTTATCGAATACTTTTCTCACAGCAAGTTGTCACAAGAACAAAATCCTACAAAATATTTTTTTCATTAAAATGCTTATGAGAAAATGAAGAAACCTAATGGTTTTAAGAGGAAATAAGAAGCGTGAACGATGACGCTTGAACTATGAAAATGTTGGTTATGGCTAATTACACTAATTGTACATTGGTTAAGTTTTTCCATTAATTCAAACATATTCAAGCTCATGTGAGACTTCACACTGCACAGAACGGTGGAATTCAGATCGCCCTCATGTGTATAAGTATGCGAAACATACATAATCGAATCAACAAGCTGTAGTACATGTTAGAATATGGTTTTCTAATGGAGAGTAACACACAAGTCTGAACTATTTATTGTCCGTACGTCGTGAGTGGATGTTGTCTTCCGTACGACATGGTCTGTGATGACCAGTAGAAGCGAATCATCAGCACTCTTTTCGCTCGACTGTAGCTACCCATCGCATAATGCACCCCATCGTCATCATCATCAGGCACTGATTGCTACTAGTTGTCTGTGTGAAACTTTCACTGAATATAGAAGGCATATAATGTACAGTGCTTGTTAATTAATTTCACATATTCTCATTAAAACAAGAAATAAAATGGAAGTTCACGGTTAATTAGAAATTTTGACTGAGTCACAAATTCTTGTGTTGTCTGATACATCCATCTATGTGCACTTCTATATCTGATCACTGATCAGTAGATTATACACGACTATCTAACTCCCCTCTGATATCTTGTTGGCAGTAGACACAT